CAGATATTTAAGTCTTCATCAGGATCATCTTCATCAAAGTCATCTGCTTCATCAGGTTGGTAGAACACTTTTCCTTCACCCACAGGGTTTACAGTGACCTCGCTTCTCTCCTCTTCGTGGTGCATGTAGGGAAGTTTCAGTTTGGATCGAGCTTGGCGCTCATTATCTGTCAGCTTCAGACTGAATGTGAGATTTTTAGTTGGATCAACCTGAAAGATTACATTCAATTGATGGTAAAATAACAGCAGAGAAAACTAGCTTTGAACTCACTATTTGTATCTTGCATCACAAGAAAATGTCATTTTCTTCAGTCATTCAAAAATAAACTTGCACAAGGCTCACCTCATTAACAGATTCACTGACAGCTTTTGAAGAAGAACCATTCCAATCCTTTTCCTCGTATTCAGTCAGTACATGTTTATCATTGATGGCAAAGCTTTCAAACTGCAACAACAACCAGATTTGAAATAAGTAAAGCTCCCAACCCACTAAAAGGAAAAATAAAATTTCAACCTAGCTGTAGTGTCAGTGAGGAGGAAACATCCATCTAAGCATTGTTGATAAAATTTTTACCAACTGTTAGTATTATTGTTAGATTTTGTAAGATATTTACCCACATTGGGGGTGGGGATTGAAACTATTGATATTAATCAGCTGAAACATTTACAATTACAATCAGTAAATACTCTTGGCAGAACAGGATAAGTTGATTTTAACAACTGAGATGATAAATAAGAATTTCCCACCATAGAGAGATTCAGAAGGTTACATTTCATGCTTTAGCCCTTCATCAGAGGGAATCAATGAGTTCCATAGGGCTAAAACTTGAAACTTCAAATTCTCAACTTGGTTCATTGATAAAACCTATTAATTACCTTGTAATACCTTAGCATCTGCACAATTTCTGTAGAAACTTAAATGTCATTCATTTCTAGGTAGAACATCTTACACTGTCATGTACCTTCTTTATCACTTTTCCAGTTTTCCTCTTGTGAAGAACCTTGCACCAGTTCACTGACTGATCTGCAACACATTTTACCAGTGAAATGATCTATCTTTTGCAGAGGAATGGATATATAATTAATTTTACATATAATTAATTTTACTAAGTCTGAAATATCAGTGTGACAAATTTTCATAAATCAAAAATCAAACTCAAATTACATGAATTGCCAGGCATGAAAAATGATATTTCACCTTCAAATTTGCAGCCTTAACCCTTTTCACCCTAACATCCAAATTCATAAATTCTCTATACTGTTCTCAATACACTTCCTAAGGTACTGACAAGGAGAATTAGTTTAACAATCAAGAGCTTCTTTAGCTCATGATCATTGCCTATACTCTCCAGACCTTAATGTGTGGTTGAGGGGTGACATTGTTAGGAGAAATTAAATGCTCATCTTGGAATTCAAAGGGTAAATTTTTTTGTACAAAGCTTGTTGATCTTCTCTGATATGATCAGCTTATTAGACCTGTTTACTACCCTTAACCCTTTAACTCCCAGAAGTGATTACCAACTAACTTCTCCCTCTAGCATCCATACATTATACAGCAAACAGGTAATGAGAATACTCAAACTCATCAGGTACAATTTATTACCTTGATTGAACACCTAATTCTTATAATCAGTTAACAAGGAAATGTGTAGCAGCTAGAGGGGAGAATTAACACTCAGATCTTGGGAGTTAAAGAGTTAAATAAAAGTTTGAGAAAAGTGTTATTTCTTTAATCAAAACATTTTTCACCTTTCTCTTCCTTGTCCAGTGTAATCCAAAGAAGTGATGAAGCCAAGAAATTGATAGTATTTAATGTCTGGTCATCGTGAAGATCAGAATGCACTAAAGCAACAACTTGAACCACTTGATAACCTGACAAGGAAATTTATGAACAAAAAACCAATCTTTACCAGAGCAACACTACAACAACTAAAATAAAATAAAATTATTTTGCTGTGGGTCTGAGTGGGTGGGTGGAAGAAGCTCTTGATTGTTGAGCAAATTCTTCATGTCAGAACCCTCCAAAATGTCTAAGGAGTGGTATAGAGAATATGCATACTGATCTTAGGGAGTAAAGGGTTTAAATAACTTCTTCTATAAGTGGCTGCCAATGTTGTTATAGGCAACTGTGCCCTAAAAAAGAGCTGCAGGGCAAAAGCCAAATACCAGAGCCTGCTTGCAGGCTAAAAAGATGACAGCAAGAGGTCTTACAGGCAGCGATAGACAAAATGGTTCTTCCCTGTCAGTTGCAGTATTCCTACTCCCTCCTGGATGGGACCTCAATGATCCTTTACAACCCAGAATAGTTAAAAAGTTTTCAAAGAATGATTACCTTCCTGTGAGTGTGATGAGTTGGAGTACAGTTGATTTAGTAGTGTGCACACCATTGCCGAAGATTTCCACAGTAAAAGCCTACTCAATGAATTGAATACAACAGCTACCTTAACGACATCACCTGGAAAATAAGTAGCAATGACACAGAAGTGTAAGTCATTGAGCAACACAAACCAGTAGTAGTAAAAGCAACTTAACACTTGCACCCCTTAGAGTGACTAGCATCTAATTTCTCCTCACAATATCACCCCTGAATCACATATTA